GGGCCAAACCACGGTCTACCGAACGAACGACACCGCCGGGCAAAGGCTGCCCGAGGCCAGGGGAGGGGGCAGCCGTATCCCGCCCCTCAGCAGGCCCCCTTGCTAGGAGGAGGAGGACCAGAGGTCCCGCCAGGGGCCTTGGGAGCGTTGAGGGACCAGCCTTGGCAAGAGGCGCCCCAAGGGCAGTCTTTGCGACGCGCCTGAGCGGGTGCCAGGACGGCACCGGCTCCTTGCTTGTCCTGCAGTGCAACCCCTCCCCGGTCACATTCCTGGGGAGGCGAGTTGGATGGTGCCTCCTCCCCCCGCAAGGGGAACCCGACCGGCCCAAAAGCAGGAAGAGAAGCCCGCAGACGGCACGGCCTGTCCGTCGAAACCTTGGCCGCTCCTCCAGCCTCTCGCCTGCTTTTACTGCTGCTGACAGTCAAGGGAATTGTCTCGGTCGCACACCGAACTGGCCTTGGACTCGCGGCGTTCCGCTAGTCTGGGGTCGCTGCGGCGGTTAGTTTCCTTGCCAGCAAAATGCCTCCTCCTTCTCGCCCTTAGCTTTCTGGCGGCCATCGTCACCAGCTGAGCCAACGACCCGCCACCCACGCATAGGGGAGCCAGGCGAAAACTGAGCTTCCGACGGACGTGCGCGGGCAGTCCGCGAGTGAAACGGGTGGGAGCCCCAGCCCTTGCGCGATGCCTCAAAGCCCGTTTTTGTTTCCAATACTGCGGTTATATTGCCCTGAGTTACTCTCCGGCATATCATGGAACCCGCCCCAAACAGTCCCTGTTGGGCGAGTACCAGAGTGGCATTGCCCAGAGGAAGCGCCCAGGCAGGGCAACTGCTTACCACCCCCACTCGCCCCTCCCCCGAACAGGTGTTAGGACTGTGCCTGGCTTGCCTTCCAAGACTGTGAGGGGCCTGGGGGGAGGCAGGAGCACCACCTCCCTCCCCCGCAACAGCCACTTCCACCGGGAAAGGAAAAGCTGCTTCGGTGGACCCACAAAACAAGCTGGGAGCTGCGGGAAATATTTTGCTTTTGCACCAAAAATAGAGATTAAATGGGGACATCTCTGAGTGCAATTGGACCCCCCCCCCACAACCCTGCTGCCAATCAGTGCAGGCAGAACTGCAGTGGGAGGATAGCATGGAAGCCAAACCCCATTTCCAGCAGGTTGGGTGACTGGCAAGGAAAATCCCTTTCTTCATAGGAGGAGGCGGCAAGGGATTTGCGAAGCTCCCCCATTCTCCCTCTTCTCCAGCTGAACTCAGGCCTGGCTGACCTGAAGCAGCTCAGCACTGCCTTGTGGAGGAGGAGGAGGAGGAGGAGGAGGAGGAGGATCCACCAGCGTGAAGAGGAAAAATGCCACAGCTGAGCAGGTTAATCAAGAACACTCTCCATCTCTCCCCACCCAGGGGCTGCCAGTGGTAGTTCCCTCCTCCCCCACCCACCCACTCTATACAGTGTGAGCAAGTACAAGCGTGGCTCCTCACTTCTTTTTTATCATTTTTTTTTCATTTTAATGTATTTTTATTATAAATAAAAAATATTGTTATCACTTTTCTTTTTATGAAAGATTTTTTTAAAAAAATATATATTTTTGTTTTTCTGCACAAGTGTCCAAAATACATAGCGAGGCCATGAATAAAAAATGAAATAGAAAACTCAAAAGGCAGGGCTATTCCATTCACCAGAAATCCCTCTGCAGTGGCTGAGTGTCACATTCACATCGAAGTGGGACAGCGCTCGCTATATGCTTCTTCCTCTGAGAAATGAGCAGTTGCTTCTCATCAAGCAGTTTTTCAGAATTTTTTCTTAAACCAGTGATTGTTAAAAGAAATGGATGTTCCTCCCTTTGTCCTATTTATCATAACTGATAGTTCTTTTACGTTTCAGGACGTAATTTCTACAGATAAGGGGGTGGACAAAGGGCACTTGGCATTTTTTTCAGAAGCTAATAATTAATCCAGGATGGTTTCCTTTCAAGCTCCCTATCTTCTAGACATTTTCTCCAACCTACAGTTGGCCAGCACTGTGGGGCCTGGGAAGGGCACAGAGAACAAGACACCAACGGGCAATAGCAGACAGCAAGCATGGTGTCAATGGGACTCCAGCTGGTAGGCTACGTTTTGGGGCTGTTGGGCTCGCTGGGTGCCCTTATAGCCACGCTGCTGCCCGGCTGGAGGACCAGCTCCTACATCGGCTCCAGCATCATCACGGCTGTTGGATTCTCCAAAGGACTCTGGATGGAGTGTGCAACCTACAGCACAGGCATCACACAGTGTGACACCTACAGCTCTCTGCTTGACCTGCCCGCTGACCTCCAGGTAGCCCAAGCCTTGATGACCACATCTGTTGCTGTATCTTTGCTGGCCTCCATTGTCTCTGCTGCAGGGATGAAATGCACTGTGTTCTCCCAGGGCTCACCAGCAAAGGACAAAGTGGCTGTTATGGGAGGAGTAGCTTTTGTCCTGGGGGGGCTGCTCAGTTTCATCCCCATTGTGTGGAACATCCATGTGATCCTCCGTGACTTCTACAATCCTGTGGTGCCCGACAGCATGAAGTACGAGATTGGGGAGGCCTTGTACCTGGGCATCCTGTCCTCCATAGTCTCCTTCGCTGGGGGAGCCATCCTCTGCGCCTCTTGCCCACCCCAGGACTCGCAAGCAACCTGTTACAGCCCTTACCATTCTCAGACCGTGGCAGACAGGAGCTCCCCGCCACCTATTGCGTCTCCAAAGACCAGCGCATATAACCAGACTGGCTATGTGTAGCAGCGCCTAGGCACTCATGAGCACCTATGCAGTGCCCTCTGGCTCACCTGGACACACTGAACAGGTAAGCAGAGAGACAGATGGGCTTATTCTTTCCACAACCCTTCTTCTATCCTCAGCACTCCAGTCCTGTCCCTCCCTGATCCAGCTTGGTACTACCAGAGTGTTGTCAACTGTCTGATGGCTGCAGCTTCTTCAAGGCTCTTGGGGCTGTATTTGCTGTGAAGACCTTCTCCCACTAAATGCCTGATGTCTGCATTTGGAGCAGTCACAGGTGCCCACCAGGTCTCAGATCCTGCTGTTCTCTCCTCCCCCACTCCATAGGATTCTTGAATGTTCTGGAACAATAGCCCCAGAAGAGGAAACTGGACTTAAGGATATCGGGCTGGGGGAGAGAAAGGACATGGCTCTGTGCTGTGATAAAATAGGCACCATTTCTGGGAGAAACCTGCAAGTCCTTGATAAGGGAGTGAAAAAAACTGAGCTGCTGGAGCCTAGGACAAGAGGGCTGATGGCAGAATAGAACCAAGAATGCCTGGGCATATCCTAGGGCAATTTAAGTTGGATGCCTCCTCTGAGAGAAGTCAAGATCTTCCTGCCCTGCCTTCTCCTGCCAAAGGTACATTTCCAGCAGGATGGCAAGGTGCCCACTGCAAGAGTCCTTGTTTTGGTCTCATGGTGTCTGTTTCAGCCTCTGGCTTTGAAGAGGCCAATATGTGCCTGCTCTCTGTGGGTGGGTACATACTGGCCTTGGCAGATTAAAGGACTCCACAGCAAACATCTGCTACGCCTGCTCTGGGATCAAAGTGTTGCTCCATCTGCCCACTCATCCCAAGTACTCATAGCTCTGCTCTTTGGTCTTCATAGGGGCTGAGTAGTTTCACTGACTCCTAAGGGCGAAGGAAGGAGATAGAACATAGGGGCTTAACTGTGTCTGGGCCACTGAGAAAGAAAAACCTCTAGCAGAGGCCAATTCCTTCTAAAGTGGGTGCCAAGGAAACAAGATGATTGGGATGACCCTGAAGTGCTTCTGGCCCTTCCCAAGGAATTGTTTTGGGGCCAGCAAAACGTGCCCAGGGGTGACCAGCTGTCCCACTGCAGTTCTCACTCAGTCAACAATTTGTTGGCACCAGAGTTTGTTTCCCTGATGGTCTATTAGCAATGCTCCAGAATATGGATTTCCAAAGTGGATGTGAAGTTGTTTGGTGTGATCTTTCAGTGTGAAATTATCCTCCTAAACATACATCTATTCTCAGAAGAAGAACTAATGCTTTGGGGACGAAAACTGGTGGGGCTGGATGGGCTGATGGGAGGGAAGGCAGTATGTGAAGGTGAGCTGGCAAGTGGGCGCAAGGGAAGATTAATAGACATCTAGAGGGAGGCATGGCGAAACCTAAAAAGCCCTACTGAAATATTCGGGAATCCCTGTTCTGGTAAATGTTTTGCTTAAAAGAAAAGGGGAGATGTAGCAAAGCTGTGAGGATTCCCAGAAACTAGCAGGTAATAAGGAAATGAAGCTTCCTGAGGGTGTGGCTGAGGGTATGGAAGCGGTCATACGAACACAAGTGAGAAAAGAACTAACAGCTCCACTCAGGAAGAGCTCAAAGTATGCAGAAATCAAGGTCCAACGAATTCCTTTGTGTCTGAAGACAGGACAGCCATCCAAGAGAGGGTTGGTTAGCCTGGGAGACGAACAGCAGGTGGCTGGGGGGCGTTGGGAATTATGTACTAACCAGGCCGTTTCTAGCTGCAACAGCCTAGGAGCTCTTTGGTCCAGCCTAAATGTGCTGGTCTTGAAGGTCCCAGACGGGGCCATTCCCAGGTTGCAGGGCCAGCATGTAGCCACCTCTCCTTGCAAGGCTTCAGGGCAGCCATCTAGAAAATTTCACAAGCACTCATGGATGTGGCCAACATGGAGAAGCACATGGGTGTTCCTGAACGGTGATGTCATCATAGAAATTTGGAGCCAAGAGACATTCTGCAGAAAGGAAAATCTTCATGCCTATTTCCATGAATTGAGGGGTGGGTGGATGTATAAGCTCTGTATAACAGTTGTAAGCCATGACGGATTAACTTCCAATTAAAAAAAACATAGCAGCGTTCTTTTTGCTTTCTCCCAATCATCCCAGCAATGGAGAAAGGCTCAGCATTCTTGGGCAAAGGAGCAAGCTAAGCTGTAGATGTTGCCTCCTCCTCTGTGGCTGGACTGACACCCTTGGTCTAGCTCCCCTTTGACTGAGGCAAGAGGCTGGGTTTGTGGAAGCAGTTTCACCTGCCTTGTTCTGACCTAGGGTCAGGAGTGTGGGACCACGGCTTTGTATGGCTTACAAAGGCAAAGCTTGGAGGACAGTTTGGAAAAAAAACACCTTTAGATTAATGCAACGCAGCAATGCCACCATTAACCTTTGCCAACCATTAAAGCTATTTTCCTGATAATAACTGACTAAGGCATTCTTCCCATTTCCCCACCCTGCAGGGGGAAATGGCTCCCCAATTTTAAGGAACTTTTGACCTCCTCTCTCTCTCCACCCCCTCACCACTGACTGCTCCTTGGAACAACTCACTACATGACAACCTTAAGGAAATCCCAGGTGAGCAGAGAGCTGGCTGGGCAGAGTCACACCCAGCAGGTTCTGTGAGAGGTGGGACAGATCAAAGTGGCCTTCCAACACCTTGGCTCTCTCTTTAATACCTTTCCTGTTGAGCAGTCCTGGTCAGGGGGCCCGTAACTTTTTCCCTACTGCTGCCATATGGGGGACCCCTCATGACTCTGCAGAACACAGACCAACGTGCTTCTGCGCAGCTCCCTTCCATGCAAGGGGAGACCTGTCAGAACAAGAGCACATCAGTGCCAACTGAGAAAGAGCGGCCACCTTAAGAAGCCTCAACGCATCGGCCTCTGCTGCTTTCCTCCTGCAGCCAGGCAAGAACTCGCTACAGGGACTCTAACAGGTGGATTCAGCCATAAACCTCTGCTCCCCAGACCAAGAGGAGCCTGTTTCTCAACAGTCCTCCCATGGGGGGGGGGGGAGGGATGTGGAAAGACTCATATTGGCTGCCTTTTACCACCCTCGCTTTCTCTCCTCCCTTTCTACCTCAAAGGAGTACACAGATGGACAGCCCAGGGGTCTTGCCGCAGAGGAAAATGAACCAGCTGAGTGGGGAAAAGCAAGGGGTAGAAGCGCCCACCAGATTTGTTGCTAAGCTCCCCTCGGTAACCTTTGCCCGGGATGGTAGAGGAGGGGCAACCATGGGCAGCTTTCAGCAGCTCAAGTTTCTTCCGCCAGGAATAGATTCTGGCCTGGGGGAATGATTTCTGAAAGGAGCCCAAAGATGTAGGCCTGAGAAAAGGGACCAGCGGGCCAGCCTCCTTCCTCTAGCCCTGCTGTGGCCGGTGGGAGAAGAGATCCTGGGCCTCCCTGCCAGCTCTATCTCTGCCTCCAATAGCCTTTCTTCATCCAGGCTGGCAGGGCAACGGCCAGCTCTTTTAGAGATACCCAAGCTGCAAAGGATAAATAGAGCGCCTACACTTCTGCTGTCTAGCCCAGACTGGGGGGGAAGCAGAACTCCAACCACTAACTGGAAGCTCTGCTTCCTGGAAGGCCTTGGGCTCCCCCCCCCAAGGATAACTATTTCTGCAGCACTGAGGGCCAAGAACCCATTTTGCATGCTGAAGGCCTGGCCAATTGTCAACAGCCCAGCCTGAAACAAAGCAGGCATTTTTAACTCCCAGCTAGTGCTAGCTGCTTTACAGAAGAATCCATCTGATGACTCTTCAGCTGCTCAAAACAAACTGAGGAAAGAGATTCATCCCAGCCCCTAGAAGAGAAAGACTGCCTCAGCGAATGCTAAGCAAGCCCCACCATCCTCTAGGAATGCTTGCTCATGCTCTGACTGAACCGGGTGCCCCAGAATGCCTTGATGGTCTGGTGGAAAAGAAGGAGAGAGTCCAGAGGAATCATTAACATTCACAAATTTTATGTGAACTGATCAAGAAAAGGGCAAAGCAGCCTCTCGCTCAGTGCTGCCTTAATAAACCCTGGTTCACTGGGATGGAAGAGTCAGTGGGGGGGGGAGACAATGAGACCCTTCATTTTCAAAAAATACGTTACTGCATTACACAACCATCATCCCAAAAAAGCAACTGCCACAGCTTGACAAGACAGCCTTTCCTTCCCCACTCCTTACGCGCAGTTGGCTCCCCTCTGAACGCAGAAGCGACAGGGCTGTGCGCTTGCCCGGTGGCGAGGGGTCCCTCCAGGATTCACTCCCCGCCTTCTGCAGGACGAGGCCTCCAAGGGGCCCCGTCAATTGGTGGTTCACCTGAGCGGCTGCCCGTTTCCTCAAGCACAGAGCTGGGCCCGGGGCCCGGGGCCAGGCCGGAGTGCAGGGCTGAGGCCGGCGTCCTGCTCCGCCCGAACTCAAGGATGAGCGGCTTCCCCAGCAGGCGGAACCCATTGAGCAGCTCCAAGGCTTTCTGGGCCTGTGGCGCGCCTGCAAGCGAGCCCCAGCCGAGTCAGCCCGGGAAAAGGTTGAGGAGACACCCCCCCGGCCCAGCCCCCGCACTTGGCCTCCTGAGGAGGCATTTGGGGAGGCCAGCGACTTACTGGGAAAGGTGAGGAAGGCCTGGCCCCTCATGCGCCCACTCAGCAGGCGGAAATGAAGTGGGGGGCCGTCCTTCTCTTGGAAGCGTGAGAACAAGGGCAGCAGATCCTTCACGGTAGTGTGGTGGCTCAGATTTTTCAAGTACAGCACCTAACCCCGCACAGAAGAAACAGCAGCCTGGGTGTCTGGCCGTGGCCCCTGCCATCGCCCCAACACAAGGGCTGCTTGCAGCGCCAGCCTGCTAACAGGGGAGGGGGACAAGGCAGCCTCCAGGGAAGCCCCTATGCAGGCTGACGGCCACTGCATTCTTCTGCCCCTGCAGGTTCCCCCAAGCCTTGCTGGACACGCAGCCACGTCATCCTGGACAACTGGGGGTGGGGGGAGAGGTGCACTGGATCTCACTACCACTTTGCCTGGTACTGTGCCTCACAGAAAATCCAAAAACCCTCCCTTCCCTCAGTCGCCAGCCAACCTGCAGGGAAACTGGTCAGCGGCCAGCCTCCAAGCCAAGCACCACAAGACGATAAGCAGGGCGGCTGGAAGCTCCCAGGGAACAGCAAAGGCAGCCCAGCCCAGTGAACGGGGGCTACCTTGCTTGGTTCCCCTGGATCGTAAGAGGAAAATCTAGGGATCCTGCGGATTTCTTCCTCGGAAAGGCGACCCCGGAGAATCTCCTCCTCTGGTACGCACGCTACGGGCTCTGTCACCACGGTAGGCCCCGAAGAGCTCGGAGCTGCTGCAGGGCTGGCAAGGGGCGCAGAGCAAGACGACTCAGGCACCTCCTGGGGAGGCTGTAGCGGTTCCAGCAGCCTCTGCTTCGGAGGCGCTTCGCTCAGGAGCTCCCGGTACACCGCGTCCAGCTGCGCCGTCGGGCCCGCCTCGGCTGCAACCCTCGCCCGAGCCTCGTCTGAACCGCAAGGAAAGGCAGAGTCGGCTTGAAACAGGGGCGCGAACCCCACGTGCCCCAGGGCAGCCGCCA